AAGAGAGCTAACATTCCCTCTTTTCAGTCATGTGGAGAAACAGTACATGAATCCACTTAAGCGGGCTCCGTACGCAATGCACATTTCCACAGACTGTGGGGTGTTATTCAAATTAAATACGCACTTCCCATTGTCACCTTCGCTGAACTGATTTCTCAACGTGGTCTATGGGAGAGATTCCTTTTTATTTTTAATATATTTTATTGATTTTTTTTTACAAAAAAGAAGAGAGAGGGATAGAGAGTTAGAAACATCAATGAGAGAGAATCATCGATCAGCTGCCTCTTGCACACCCCCCACTGGGGATGTGCCCGCAACCAAGGTACATGCCCTTGACCGGAATCGAACCTGGGACCTTTCAGTCCATAGGCCGATGCTCTATCCACTGAGCCAAACTGGTTTGAGCGAGACTCCTTTTTAATTAAAACAATCACTGTCATTTTTTCTCAGGAAGAGGATACAACAATAAAAATATTTACATTCCGTTTATCTATAAACATTAATCACGAGGGGTAGAAGGTGTTGCTGGATAGTTTTATCACAGAGACATTATGTTAACATGCTTTAAATTGCTGCTTTGCAGGTCAATTTATTCCCATTAAGACCGTATAAGATTCTTGTTGTCACTAACAGTATTTATAACTACTTACTACCAAAAGGAATTCAAGTCTGTGATAAATTGGCAATACCCAAAAGTCAGTTGACTTATAGGTACAGATGTGTAAATAATAATGTGTGTATGCCATGTTGGCCTGAGTCCTACGCCCAACTGACCTCAATTTTCACCGAAAGTCAAGTGTGAAAGTCTAGTGGTTTGATGCGCAATGCTTTCTTTCTCCTCTGGTTCCTCGCAGTGTAATGCAGTTGACAGCCACTCTACCGGATTTACAAAGTGATAGGTGGGTTGCAGTTTCACCAAGTCGGTATTATTATCTCTGTAGTCTGTGGAGGACCTGTGGAAGGCTTAGCATAGGAACTCTACAATTATACTCCACAACTCTAACTGCAATAATGGACACTTGTCCTGATTATCAGGCAAACTGGCAATGTATCCATCCGGTCTTCTTTTGTGGGGATGCCAAATCGCATTCAGAGTCCAGCCCATTCGTTACCGTGTTACAAGGTAAAATCCTCTCAGCTAGAAGAGAATGACGTTTAGGTTGTCATGCCATCTTCAGGGTGCTGTGCAGAAATAAGCTCAGCCAGAGAGTACACTAATGTTAAAATATTGAACCATCGCTTTGTTTCTCTGCAACAAAGGTGCCCTGACTTTACCTAAGGAAAAGCCACTTTGATTTTTTTTGAGTGGTTTAAAGTGGCTCCCAGGAGAGGAGACAGAAATTTCTGGAAGATCAAGTCACTGACTCCCAGCCACTGGGCTTGAGTCCCCCTCATCAATATGCACTCCGCACACCTCGAGGAGGGCAGGGTTGTTAACAACCACCAGGGTGATGGCCTTGCTGTCAACAGACGTGTTTCCAAGGTTACATTGCGACCTTGTCATTGGAGAATTCTTTCTGCAAAGTAGTAGTTGAATTCAAAGAGCAAAAACATGAGCGTCCAAAGGATAAAGATAAATGAAAAAAAACTCAGAGTGTAGGAGATACTGTCGTAAACCAGTTCTACAAAGCTGGTAAAAAAAAAAAAAAATTGAGGAAAGATGATACACAATTCACAAGAGGCTCAAAAGAGGAGCAAGGGAACACCGCTCAGACTTTCCCTTTGTTAAGCTTATTTTTTTGTTTTTGTTATCCACTCACTTTATTTTTTTTTTTTTTTTTTTTTTTTTTTTTTTAAATATAATTTATTGATTTTGTACAGAGAGGAAGGGAGAGAGATAGAGAGCTAGAAACATCGATGAGAGAGAGTCATCGATCAGCTGCCTCTTGCGCACCCCCTACTGGGGATATGCCCGCAACCAAGGTACATGCCCTTGACCGGAATCGAACCCGGGTCCCTTCAGTCCCCAAGCCGACGCTCTATCCCTTGAGCCAAACCGGTTTCGGCTATCCACTCACTTTATACTATATTCTGTAGTAGTTACATATTACTACTACGTAACAAGTTATTCCAAAACTTAACCACTCAGAATGACAAACATTAATCATCTCTGTTTATGCGGGTCAGCGATACCGGGAAGACATAGCTGGGTGCCTCCAACTCAAGGCCCCTCACCGAGGTGGGCCAGCACTCTGGTCTAGTCTCCATGCTCCACCGGAGGAAGGCAAACTCCACACGCACGGGGCTGTACAGGGTTCAGCACCTCACAGCCTTTAGGCCTCCCTCTGTTTCTTGCCCCAATAAGACCTGGGCTTTCTTAGAGCAATGGATGAACGCAAGGAGCCATTGTCTTTCTGTAAGCTCACCTCAGAAATGACACCCCATGGCTTTTGCCCTATTCTATTTGTTAGAAGCAAGTTGTTAGGTTCAGCCCACAAGGAAGGGAAGGGGATCCCACACGGGTAGGAATAGCAGGATGTCGGGATCTCTGGGGTCATTGTAGAGGCCACCAACCTCATCTTCCTTCGCACTCACCAGAGAGGAATAAACACCACACATGGGAGGAAAATCGGAAAGTAGGAGGAAGGAGAAAATGTCCCAGGATCTCACGACTTGTGGCTCGTACCTCTACATATCCCTCTCTGATTCTCCCTAATCCAAACACGCAACATGTCCTCCGATGAGATGCTTTCCCCCCAGTCTTATACCTGTCCCCTCTTCTCTACTTCATGGGCCTTCATGTCTTCACACTATCGACAGTGTGGCACTGCTTTCCTAACCAGCTTCCACAGTGCAATACAGCCGGGACATGGAGGCCAGAGCAATCTTTTTGAGTCATACTTTCCACTTATCCTTATGCTGCGGGGGGTGGCTCCCAGTTGTCAAACAAAACGCTTTAGGCTACCATTCCGTGCCTTCCGTCATTTGTCTCAAGCCTGACTATACAGTCTCCTCACCCCCAACCCCCAATAGTAACCCCCCATCCCAAACAAGCCACACTCAACACCTACACACACCCACACTGACACACAGCTTGACGCCTCTGCGAACACCACCACACTCCCTCCCTTGGCAAAAACCGGTCTTCACCTTACCACTCTACATCCTCCCCATGTCCAAGAGGCAAAGCCAGTCCCGTCTCCTCAGGGACGCCTTTCCTGACCTCTCCCACCCAGATCTCAGCTCCTCTTACGAACAGGCACAGCTCAGAGAGACACGCCACCTACCACCCGGGCCACTCCCTGTGTGTGGGTCTTGTTTTCCTGAGGAGTTTCACACCTTCCTTCTGCCACAGAGACCGCCAACTCGAAAGTTGGGCTGGATCTCATTTGGTTTTTTTCCTTTGCTGTGGGGCGGCTGGTCCATGACAGGCAGCAGTTGCTGAAAAGATGGATGGATGATGAATAGAGGGAGGGAGGGAGAACGGATGGGAGGAAATGTTAAGCTCGGGGTCTAGCACACATCAGAGGCCAATAAGTCATAAATACTGGTTAACACCACCAATCCTTAAAATGGGAATTCTCCACCCAGCGGCACCTTGGCCTTTTAGTGGTCCCTATATGCAAAGGCGAATGAAATGTATCTGGGTCTGACAACACACACACACACACACACACACACACACACACACACACACCAAGCCCATTCACGCAAAAACATCACCACTGAAGACTGATGTGTAGCCGCTCCTCCATCGCCCGCCCTCACCCTGGCTCTCAGATGCAGGGAACTTAGATGGCACAGCCAGGGCAGAACTGGGGGGGGGGGGGGGGGAGGACGACAGAAGTGGTGAGAACGAAAAGGGTGCCTGGGACATAGAGGCGGGGAAACATACCTATGGTGGGGGACTGTCCACGTTTTAGGTAAGTCCGAGTACACCAAGGGCTTTAAAAAAAAAAAAAGAAAGAAAAGAAAAAGAAATACCAGGAGACCTTTTAATTTAAGGCCTTTATTGCCTACCTCTAGGGAGAGAAGAGAAATCTCCAACAAAGCATCAGACGTCCAACATTCAGGGGAAACCCAACGCTTCCTATCTGCTGGCTAGAGCAGTTCAACCTAAAATAAATGCTCCCAGGAATCAGATTCCTGGCGGGAGGCTCCGGACGCGGGTCCCGCAGAGAGCGGCTCCGGAGGCGCGGGGCAGGGGGAAGGGGGGTGCACTGGCTCCCCCGCTGCCGGGATCCCGGGGCTGAGTCTCCGGGCGGCTCCCCGCGAGCCGGAGCGCGCGCCGCGGAGAACCCGGGGCGCCGGGCGCAACGTCCTGAGCTCCGCGTGTCCCGCAGCCCGACACGGGATGGCAGCTTCTCTCGCCCCCAACTCACCTGCTTTTTTTACAACCACTTCCATCCTCTACGCTCCGGCCTCAGGTCCCCCGGGCATCCGCAGCAGCATCCTCCACGGCCCCGGGTCCACCGTGCAAGAGAAGGACCGGCCAAGCGGGGGGTGAATGGGATGCGAGGTCACCAGGGCCCCTTGGTGTGATCGCGGGGGTGGGGGCCGCAGGTTGCTCGTCTCCATCATCCTTACGGAGGGCCCTCGCCGTGCGCGCCGGGGACCCGGCGAGGGCAGGTCAAAAACTTTCAGTCCTGTCGCTGCAACTAACTCCGCGGCAAAGACCACCTTCCTCCGGCCCAGGCCGCGCCTCTCCGGGGTCTGTCCTCCCCGGCGCCCCGGCCCGGCCCCGCGCGGCCCCGGGTTGCAGGCGGTGTTGGCGGCGGCGGCGCAGCATCTCCTCCCCGCCCGGCGCGCGGCAGCCTCGGTCCCCGGCGCCCCGGCCCGGCGCGGCCCCTCCCGGCGGGCGGGCGGGCGGGCGGCCGGCGCCTCTCTGCTGCCCCTGGCGGCCGTGCCCGCCGCGCGGAGCCCATCCGGCTGCGGGCGCCGGGGCGCCGGCTCCTCCCCCGCTCTCCCCTCTCCCCGCCCCGCTCCTCCCATCCCTCCCGCCCTCCCTCCTCCCTCCCCCCTCCCGCGCTCGCAGCACTCAATGTCGGAACGTTCCGAAGATGACGTCGGAGCGTTCTCGAATCCCGTGTCTCTCGGCCGCTGCTGCCGAAGGAACAGGGAAAAAGCAACAAGAAGGAAGAGCAATGGCGACACTGGATCGCAAAGTGCCCAGTCCGGAGGCGTTTCTGGGCAAACCCTGGTCCTCCTGGATCGACGCCGCCAAATTACACTGCTCCGACAGTAAGAACCCCGCCGCCTCCTCCTCCTCCTTTTTATTATCCCGGTTAACCTTTCCATTCACCTAGAGCCACTGGGAGGAAGAAAAAAAAAAAAAAAAAGTGTGTGTGTGAGAGAGAGGAGAGAGAGTGGCCCCCGGTGTCCTCCATGCTTCTCCCTCTCCCTCTCCCAATAAATACACACGGAGAGACAGACCATCAGGGCACAGAGGGGGAGGCCCTGCTGCCAGGGCTGGCTGTCTGTCTGTCTGTCTGTCTGCGCCCGGCCCCCCGTGGCAGCCCGCGGGGTGGGCTTTCACAGCCCCATGGTGTGTGTCTGTGGAAAAGGCTATATATACTCTGTTGCTGCTTGCATAGTTTTGTGTTTTTTTTTCTTGGTACCTATCTGGGCCAGGTAGATGGAAATCCGGACTTGGGAGGCAACGTCGCATTGTCAATTTTGGAAAGGTTTTTCCTATACAGTATTTACCATCAGTCCGTTTGCAAATAAAAACACATGCTCCCTGCCCCCCTTGACTTTGGCTTTTTCTCCCCCCTTTTTTTCTCTTATGTTCTCTTTTTTCTTTCTTTCTTTTTTTTTTTTTTTTCATCTGCAGATGTAGATTTAGAAGAGGCTGGAAAAGAGGGTGGAAAAAGCAGGGAGGTTATGAGGCTTAATAAAGAAGGTAAGTGGAAGCTACTGGCATTTCAGTGCTAGCATGTGTGGCAGCAGCCTTCACAGGGTTTCGACTATATTGTGAATTGTTCTGCTGGGTTATACAGAGTGACTAAGGCTTGTCAGAAATCGAGCACGCCCAGGTGTCTGCTGCTGCTGCTGCTGCTGCTGCTGCTTGGTGTTAACTTCTTCCAAAGTATAAATACAACTGGGGGGCGGGGGGAGGTACAAGACGGGGAGACTGTTGGAGGCAGAAGTTTGCTGCACTTCAGTTGGAGTCCACGCTTGGACTTTCTGATGCCTATCTGCCATTCGCATTTGCAGCATCATTGCCAAAGGTGGTGGTGGTGGGAAGGGGGGGGGGGGGGGAGCGAGTTCAAAATCTGTGAAATGAGGAATGGGGCGCCTCTCAAAAGCATCCTAGCCTTTCTTGTGGGGAAATACACAACAGTTTTGCAAACCTCACATGGCCAGTGGCTACGTCTTCACTCTCCACGGAAAACCATTGGACGTGCATCCCTTTGTAGCAAGTTTTATGTGCCCACTTTGGGTTTGGTCCCAGATTGTCATGTGGCCAGCAGCAGGGTTAGGGGCATCTGTGTGTGCAGCCCCCTGGCCAGTTGCCCCCCTCCCCCCCTCTGTTTCCCCCAGGCTGGAAATACAGTACCTGGAATGGGACACAGGGAGTAGATAGGTTACCCTAGACTGAGGCAGGCAAGGGAAGCCACAACCTGCTGGAACTGGGCATCAAACACACGTGGTCATCATAAATAAATCACGTCCTTGTTCATGTTTGCGAGCCTGGCATATGTAATGCTGGCCTAGGGGTCCGCATGGAGCAAATCCAGAGGCCACTGTCTGCTGAACGAATGGATGGGTTCGTCTGAACTGTGATTGACTAACTGGTGTCTTATAAACGTGGTTGGCTGACATTGGGGATGGGAGGATGGCTGGAGGGGCCAGAAGGGGTTGGTGGGAAGTGTTGAAGGAGTTTAGCCGTAACTAGGCCATAGGCCACACGAGCGTTGTTCGTCCCAAATGAATGGAGAAAAGGCCATGTGATTCCAAAGAATAGGTCTCCCTCATACATCCTTGAAGGCAGCCAAAACCTGCTTGGAAAGATGGCACTTCATTTTGTGGATCGACACCTATAACAGTGGGTTTTTTGCGCCTAATCATTTCCTGGCCATCCCGTGAGAAGAAAGTACGTGCTTCAGGAAAAAAAAAAAAAATAATAACATGGAGGTTAAAATGCATGCATATTCAAGGACAGTTCTCTAGCGTAGTGGTTCTGCTAATTAAGCACTTTGATTGGGAACGAAACCTTACTCTAAAGACGTTGCCTCTAAATATCTCACTGTGATCTTGACATATCTTTAGGATGCGCAAGGGAATGAAGTCAAGTGGACAGCTCGCAAGTGGCAGCTGATTTGTGCTAAATGTTCATGCGTGTTGGCCATGGGAAGTGTCACTAGAGATTGTTTTTCTCCAGGAGCTCTTGAAATCTTTAAAAGCTAATGGACTCGCCTGTCAGACCCCTGGCAATGGAAAGGTTTCCATGAAGGAAGATGCGGTTGTGGGAACCTTTTAATTAAAGTTGAGTAAACGTTACGGTATGGCACAGAATGGGCATCTCTTGAGCCTGGTGATCGGTGATGACTATAACCCAAAACTCAAATTCTGCACCCTCCTCCCTGCTTCTGTTTCAGAAGGCTTGTTCTCAGATTCTCTTTGCCTCATGAGAAATGGGTTCTTTTAAGGAAAAATGAAAGGCTCTCCTTTCCTCAGAATTCACAAGTGGTACATGCTGCTTATTATACCCTTTGTCCTGTACAGGTACAAAGACTTAGCTCCCAATTATATGCATTTACACGAAGGACACCGCTGTTCAGTGTAACATGCAATTGCTGAGTTCACCCAATAGCCATGTATGGGCCTGAAATCTCTTTGTTCATGGGCCTGGTGGAGCCAACGTGGCTTCGGTATTCCTAAAGGTCTTCCTGGTATAGGAACAGTTTTCTTTACAGATAGAGTGCACATAAATTAAACACACACACACACACACACACACACACACACCGCCACTGTGAGGAATTTAAGCGTTGAGCTGGGACTCTGTGGGGTTGTTTGGCTGCCAGGATCTCCAGAAACACTGGTTGCATTGGTCTTGCCTTGGGCTTTGTTGTTGGAGTCACCATGTCGGTGGTCTCAGGATGGATACCTGTTTGTGGATGGTCTCTGCAGGACACAAAGTGACGAAGGTGTGATTCTGTTTATGGGTGCAAGCATACATGATGGCCATAGTACGCAGGTCTTGAGAAGAAAGTTGGGTAAATAGCAATTGAGAATTAAAAGGTTATCATCCAGGCCTTGATATGATTATTATTGCGATAAAAATAAACATAATATAAAGTTTACAGTTTTAACCATTTTAAAGTATACAATTCAGTGGTACTAAGTACACTCACAATGTTGTACAATAATTACTGCAATTCATTTCCCAAACTTTTTTTTTTATTATCCCAACCAGAAATCCTAAACTCATTATACAGTAACTCCCCATTCCCCTCTCCCCCTCAGCCCTGGTAATCTCTATTCTATTTTCTGTCTCCATGAAGTTGCCTATTCTAAATACCATGTATAATTACATATACACATGTATATATCATGCAATATTTGTCCCTTTGTGACATTTCACTTAGCATAATGTTTTCATGGTTCATTCATGTTGCAGCATGTGTCAGAATTTCATTCCTTTTATGGCTGAGTAATGTTCCATTGTGTGTATATACCATATATTGTTTAGCCTTCTATCTTTTGATGAAGATTTGGCTTGTTTCCATCTTTTCACTCTCGTCACTAATGCTGCTGCGCACATTGTTGTGATATGATATTTTTTGTAGATTAAGTTCACGGAGGGAAGGACTTGCAGACTTCCAAAGTAACCTGGTTATTGTAACATAGTTCCTTCTCCATTCCTCATCCCTTTGGCGCTTCTGTTCACCTATCTCAGTGGAAAGTGTTAGCTGAAGGCTTTGAAATCTCTGTAACAAAGTCTCTACATCCATGTTATTGTTTCATCCAAAGTTAACTAAAATGACAGTCAAGATGAATTTGGAAAATACTTTTGAACTTTGTCAAACCATCACCTGGGTTCGGAAGGTGTTGCTGATTCCAAGTTTGGATGTGGTCAGACCGGGTTATATGAGGGCAGCCCGGCGTGGGGAAAGGAGCAGGAGACCGGGATTAAGTCAGCTTCCGAGGTTCCCCCATGTGACCTTGGGAACATCACTTCCCTCCTCTGGGCCTCTCCTCTCACGTGTAAAGTAAGGAAGCGGGGTTAAACATCCTCTCAGGTCCCTCTGAGACCTCTGAACCTCAGTTTCTCTGCGGAGTGTGCCTACACTACAGATATAGTTGTACCAGACAGGGTGTCTTCGGAAGAAGAAAAAAACTGACCAAAAAAAAAAAAAAAAATCAAGGCCTCCCATTAAAAACATCTTAAACTACTACATACTGGGTTTATTTTCTCATTTTGTAATCTCTTGGTGGCAAAAATCACTGCATTTCATGCACAAGTATATTCTGCTGCAAACAGTTTGTGAATGGTGTGTGACCTTTAGGCCTTGGGAATGATTGAAGGTTTGAGTCCAGAACCCTGGGTGATGTGGCCCCTCCGAGGAGAGGGAACTGACCTAGGTCAGCTTGGCTCAGGTAGGCACTTCAATTTCCTGAGAAGAGCAGGTCCCAGAAACCTTGCTAGCCTAATCTAAGATATGAAATGCACTTATAACAGAGAATTCAAGGAAGGCCATTCATCTAACTAACCTTTTATAATAATTTTCTCTCTAGCTTTGTAGGTTTATCTGAAGACTATTCTTTTTCAAGCTAATTGGGAAAAAGCTCCATGATTTAGAAAGATGTTCCCCTATTCTAATTGCCTTCCCTGTACTCTTTTTTTGAATCCTCACTTGAGGATATATTTACTGATTGTAGAGAAAGAGGAAGAGAGATAGAGAGAGAACCATCAATGTGAGAGAAACACTGATGGGTTGTCTCCCACACATGAACCAACCAGGGGCTGAACCTGCAACTTAGGTATGTCCCTGACCTGGAATCCAACCCACAACCTTTTAGTGTACAAGATGTTGCTCTAGCCAAAACCGGTTTGACTCAGTGGATAGAGTGTCAGCCTGCGGACTGAAAGGTCCCGGGTTCGATTCCGGGCAAGGGCATGTACCTTGGTTGCAGGCACATCCCCAGTCGGGGGTGTGCAGGAGGCAGCTGATTGATGAATCTCTCTCATCAATGTTTCTAGCTCTCTATCCCTCTCTCTTCCTCTCTGTAAAAAAATCAATAAAATATATATATACATATATATATATTTAAAAAAAAAAAAAAAGATGTTGCTCCAACCGATGAGCCACCCACCCAGCCAGGGATTTTATTTATTTTTATTTTTTTATTTTTTTAAGAATGTCAATTTTCATAAACTATGTCAATTTTCATAAGGAGCAGGTTGCATATGGCTCATAAGTGTCCTGGGTTATATAAAACAGATAATAGCAGGGTTGTTGTGAGGATTAACTGAGATAATACAGAAGGGCTTAACACATGGTAACACTTAATGGATGTTTGCCTTCATTCTTTTTTTTTATGTTATTATGATTATCATCTTCATTTACTAATGAAGCTCGTTCTAGGAACCTTTATTATTATAATTAATTGGGATTTTTAATCAGTGATGAGTGGAAAAGATAAACTATATCAGAAATTTCATTTTTAGAGTTAATCATGTTATAATTTTATAAAGGTAATGATTTTTTAAAAACCAATTTTAGTGGAGTGCAGGTACTACGTAGTCATTGGTAAGTTTTGTCAAGAGCTAGAGAAAATACTTAGGCAGTTGTGGGCCTGTGGCTGTGAGTGGTTTACAAAATCTTTCTTGGTACGGGAGGTCTAAAATAATTTTTTAAGTGATCAATAAATTGTTTTGTCTGATCCCCGAGA